CAGAAGGGTCAGCTTTCCTGCTCCTCTGATGCTGCTTGGCCTGCTGTGTTCATCCAGCTCTACACCTTGTTATCACAGTTTCAATATTCATGTGATATATTAAAATTTGGAGTATTTTCTCCAGGAGGACAGGGTTTAAAAAAAAATTAACGCAGCTTTTCAGCAAGGATGACAATTCTGCATGACTGTATCGAAGCGTACATAATTACAACATTAGACTGGTGTTTATTAAAAAGGATTATCACATGTTCACACTAACTTTTTAGTAACTGAATGAGAATAATCATTCCTTTTGCTTGAGATGCAGATTTTTTTTAAACTTAAACAATGAGCAAATAATGAACACATTACTGAAAATAATCCCAAATGTCAGTGGTAACTTCCATGGGGTAGAACAACTTCTCAAAAAGCTGTCAGTCGCATTTTTTTAAAACTTGCAATCTTTCCCATGGGAAGTCTTCATTAAAATTATTACTTCTCATCCTGAAAATTCTTCCGACGACTGACAAATTTGTAATATACTGACTAACATTTTCACACAATCTGTGAATGATTTGAAGATAAGCAATGTATTCCATCTTCAACAGAGGAAACTCTTTGTGAAAATTCAATTACGCCTTGATAGAGAGTTTTCTGATGACTATCTGAAAGTTTTTAATTAATGGCTAAACCTGGTTAATGTTATGAATAATTTAAAATATCTAATGCTCCGAATACACAGTTAGAATATAAAGCCTATATAAACAAATTCAAACATTTAACAGTTATTTAAGAAGTCACTGCATTTTTAAATTTACCACAACACTTTTGATATTTGCACAGTTTTGAAATACATTCCTCTGCACATCATACTTGAGTGTTCTATTCTGTTCAAATAAAAAGCACTGAATAGCCAATATAAAGCCACTAAAAAGTATGAGAAAGGTGTTTAGAACCCACATAGACGCGAATGTAACTGAATAGTGATTAAAGATACCGCCACCAAATAATGTGCTAGTTTTCTGTCACCAGCATATTTCACCCAGGCAGGGGGAGGGTGGTCCTCATAACATTCCTAATCTGGCAATAACTGCAGTTAAGCTCATCTAAAAGCTCTTTCAGGGCAGTTTTCAGATGTTGGTAGCAGCTGTCTGCTCAGGCAGGCTAAGTAAATGGAGCCAGACGCACAGTGGGTAGCCAGCAACAGCAAGCTCTGGGAATCAGGTGAAAGCTGGAATGGTACAAAAATAGGTCTTAGTATTGGCACAATTCAGGTTGCCGGAAGAATTATCAGAAAGCACTTGGACAATGCATGAGATAGCTGTGTGCTGGAACCATGGTGGCATAAGGGGAGGGGCACGGCTTTCAAATATAACTGGAAAGCCACCTGAGCAGAAAGAAAATTGCAGGTGACAACAGATATGCCACTATCTGATTTTGATAAAAAAAACCAACAGCCTCCTCAAGACAGTCAAAGCCCTGGGCATCAGGCAGGTAGATGAGAATGATAAGAGATAGGAAGGCAAGAGGGACCATTCCTCAGCATTGGATAAGATATTGAAGACAGAGATACACACAGAAGACGAAAAAAAAACACTGGAGGACACTTCAACTCTCCACGCAGTTAGTCACATAAATGTGTTTTCTTATTGTGGAAAACCTCACACCTCACAGCTCTGTTGGCTATGCCCTGGCAACTGGGCAGGAACAACTTTTGGTCTAGCTCCTTCCAAGGATCAGCTATGCATTATTCCATCTTGCAGCTCAGAGATTACCTTTTTTTGTTTGCAAAATCAGAGCAGTAAATACAATTCCAGACAACTGGACCTCACAACCAGATAGGTCAGTGCGTTCCATCTCATGGCTGAATTCCCCAGATACAGAATCACACCAATTGTACCAATATAATTATAAAGACACAATATGAATGTCAGGTGAGATTCATCAACAGAAGGTCTTCGACTCCCTCAATGTTCAACTGATCTGTGATCACAACAAGAGCTTCCTGCGTCCGAGTGCTCACTTTTCTGGCTGCAGCCATGATTACTTCATTTGATGGCAGTCCAAGGTGCTCCAGTTCGTTATTCAACCCCACAAACACAATGGATAGATCTAAGAGATATCTCTTAAAGAGATGATTACTCACCCCTCTTCGAGAACTCAAAACAGAGATGCCAAAAGGCACCATCTCAAAAGCATCAACCAGTGGTCCTTCTGGGTTCTAAAGATGTTGTTTCAATGCCTGCATTGGTCAAAGGTACCCAGCAGTACACTCTTGTAAAGCCCTCATGTACAATGGTGATTTGCTAAGCTCTCCATGCATAGCTCTCCAGAGAGGTCTGGACGTTGAAGACACTGTAACATTGAAAGGACACAACTCATTGAAGAAAGGAGGAGGAGGAGAAGTAAGATGCGGATCACAGAAATTCCCTAACTGCACAGGAAAGCAATCAAGCCTACACCAAGGCCTGAGGGTCACATCAGGAAGATATTAACAGGGATTATCTGATCCAGGCACATTTCAGCTGAGCCCCTCCAACACAGGCGTGGTATGGAACTTACTTTTAAGATGCCTCTGAGAACATGCCCACAAAAAAAAACACAGCTTTAACTCCTACCAATGATGAACACACATCTGTCCACAAGTTTCAATGTCACTGTTCATAGACCCTTACCCCTTCTTCAAAGTACCATCATTAATAAAAGGAGGCTCACACACATCTGGGTTCATGTGTCAACACTTACACAGTGTTCAAAAAGGCAAAAACTGTACAGTAACCCAATTGGTGCTCTGCCTTTGCCCTCAATACCTTCTCTGCAGTGTTCCCAGTTGACTGCAATAGATCTGATTGAGTCATCTAGCTTACTAGTTTTTGCAATTGGCTGAGACACATGTGGCAGTCATCTCCAATGTGGAGCTGGCAGCCTGGAAGGGGGATTTGAATGAATGCACCTCTAGAGTGATTGCAGGGGGAGATGGATACTCCTTCAGAGGATCCAAGGAATCGATGATGATGATGATGATTGCGCCCCATGAGAATGGCACTCTCATCCTCCTCAGTGGCAGCCTCAGCTCCACACAGGAGCACCAGCTGAGGCACAAGTGGCATTTCCTCCGAGTATCTCTGCACCATTTGAACCACAGACCAATCAGAGGCTCAGCATGGCATGCAAAGATCAATGCAGTTCCTGCATAAACTGCAAATGCTGCCATGTATAATTTTTCCATGTGATTGGTCACTCTTTTAATGAAAAGAGTTAATACATTCAAATCCCCTAAGCCATAATGATACACGAGCTGGATGGACTCCTCCATTCTGAGCCCATGACTGTACACTGCCACAGGGAACTCGAACCTGTAGAAGTACCTCTGTTACTGCTAATCTAACTATAGCATCCGTTCGGACTCCTGGTGTCCTGCATCTGCATCCGGCTGAGCAGGGCTGTGTTTTATCCTCGATCCTCCAAGGGGACACTGCCCACAGCTGCCTCTTTTACATATTCCAGCTCATCCATGATCTGCTCACTCATCACCCTGTGCTATGTAATCACACATGAGTACCCACCAAAGAGCCAGAATCGGCAATAGTGGAGGGTGTGCTTCTAAAGATGCGTTAGTGCTTAGTCTGAGCTCTACTCTAGCACTGGCTGTCCCGGAGTTGGTGAAGGAGTCTGTCGTGGCACCTCAGGCCAGTACCTAAGGGAGACACAAAAAATCGTGAGAGCTAGCCTTCAACAACAGGGTGGTCCTGCAGAGTGCAGACTTCCCAATACATGCTATCAGGTGGATAATGGCACAATGCATCGATGTTTGTAGTGAGACAAGCCCTTCTGACCTTCCCCAACTTTCTCTTCACCAGCAGCCCTGGCAACTCCATTGTTCCCTCTTCCATCCTGCAGCCGGGGAATATCTCTGCCCACCTCGGCCCACTCGTGGATATTATGTGCCAATTTTTTCCTACAAGAACAAAACAGAAAGAGATAAGACATTGCTGGCCTCGGTGGCCAATGCCAACAGCTCATACACGTAAGAAGTTGTAAATATCAATGCTGGTAGGATCTCAGCAGCATGATAATTCTGAACTTTGTTTAGTTATTAAGGACTCTTGCACACACTTCTCCCATGTTCAGCAGCTGCATTAGGCCTCAAGCTTCTCAACTGAGTTTGTGTGTAAAGCTTGTCCTGAAGCTTGAGTGCCAAATGAATAAAAACATTGAACTTCTTCCAGCAACTGATTCAGTTCCTGTGCACCACACATGATCTACTAACTGTGGCAGTAGTCTCCATCCAAACCTGCTTGGTCCAAGAGGGCTGATCTCCTCCTGCCACCTTGCAAGAAAAAAACCACCTGTCTCTCCCTCATAAAAGAGATCACATGGGTCTAGAAACATTGAAAATTGGAGCAGGAGTAGGCTATTCAGCCTTTTGAATGTGCTCCGCCATTCAATATTGTCATGGATGATCATTCAACTTGGTACCCTTTTCCTGTTTTCTCCCCACACTCTTTGATCCATTTAGCCCTAAGAACGGTGTCTAACTCATTCTGGAAACTACAATGTTTTGGCCTCTACCACTTTCTGTGGCAGAGAATTCCACAGGCTCACCACTCCCTGGGTGAAGAAATATTTCCTCCTTTCGGCCCTAAATGGCCTACCCAGTATCCTCAAACTGTGACCCCTGATTCTGGATTCCCCAGTAATTCAGTACATCCTTCCTGTGCTTACCCTGTCTAGTTCTGTTCGAATTTTAAAGGTATCTATGAGGTTCCCCAGCCTTTCATTTTTCCAAACTCCAGTAAATATAGTCCTAACTAATCCAGTCTCTCTTCTTGGTCAGTCCTGCTATCCCAGGAACCAGTCTAATAAACCTTTGTTGCGCTCCCTCCATAGTTGGAGCATCCTTCCTCAGAGAAGGAAGCCAAAACTGCACAGCGCTCCAGATGTGGTCTCTCCACGGCCCTGTACAATTGCAGCAAGGCATCCCTGCTCCTGTATTTGAATCCTCTTGCTACAAAGATCAACATACCATCAGCCTTCTTCATGGCCTGCCACACTTGCATCCTTACTTTCAGTGACTGGTGTACAAAAACGTCCAGGTCTCATTGCACCTCCCACTTTCCCAATATGTTGCCATTCTGATAATAATCTGCCTTCCCGTATTTGTATCAAAGTGGTCAACCTCATATATATCTGCATTATACTTCATTTGCCATGCATTTGCCTACTTACTCAACTTGTCCAAATCACACTGAAGCACCTCTGCATCCTCCTCACAGTTCACCCTCCTACCTAGCATTGTGCCATCTGCAAATTTAAGAGATATTAAAATTTAGTTCCCTCATCTAAATCATTACTGTACATTGTGAAAGCTGGGTCTAAGCACTAATCCCTGTGGTACCTCACTAGTCACCGCCTGCCACTCAGAATAATTCCTGTTTATTCCCACTCTGTTTCCTCTCTGCCATTAGCTCTCTATCCATATCAGTACACAACCCCTAATCCATAGTGTTTTAATTTTTACACGCTAATCTCTAATGTAGGCTCTTATCAAAAGGCTTCTGAAAGCCCAAGGAAGCCATATCCACTGGAGTATCCTTATCAACTGAATTAGCTACATCCCTGAACAATTCCAGCACACTTGTCAAGCATGATTTTGCTTTTGTAAATCCATGCTGAGCCTGTGCAATCCTGTCACTGTTTTCCAAGTGCTCTGCTATCAAATCTTTTATAATGGAGTCTAACATTTTCCCCAATACTGATGTCAGAATAACTGTTCTAAAAACCCCCTGTTTTCTCTCTAGCTACCGCGTAATCCACAGGATGTCCTACAGTCTATAAAATCTTGTGGTTGACCATGGATGCAATCTATGTCCACAAAGTGAGGACTTGCCTACCTGGGTATCTGCCAGTGCTGCACCATCTTTAAATAATGGACTGAAATGGCAGCCGCAGGGACAGCTGCTGGGACAGTTTAAATAGGGCTGGCACTCCTTCAAACTCACCTCATACTTCCTGTAGCCACTCACGGGCCACCAAACCCACTTTCTAGCCAACTAACTGTCTGCCCTGTGAAAATCTTTGACTACTTCCACCCAGGACCAGGACCAGGACACAATATGTTTCTCATGATGAAAGGAAAATCCTGCCTCCATTTGTTTTATTCTTTTTATATGCATAAAGCAACTTCTAATTTTCTGACTAATTGAGCTTTAGATGAGAAAGTTTTGAGCCTCCATAATAATTGCTCCACTTACCTATTACGGTGGACCATAACAATATTTATTTTCTACCTTATTTGCATACATATTTCTCTGCTGTGTTCTGGGATTTGCCACTTGAAATCGAGGTGGCTTTTCCTTTTTGTTAATATAGACAAGTACTCAATTTTCTCTTCAACAGTTCTCTACTGAAGGAAAACAGGCACCAAGCTAAATAACTGAGATGTTATAGCTCCATGCAAACACATTAAGAATGCATCTTCCTCCTTATCATGAACAATTTTGTGCTTCTTGTTGTGAAGTAGGCATGGTTGAGTACACCATTAAAGGGAATGATTTTCTTGACAAGCTCTACATGAAAAAGCTCCATGGTCTCAGTGGGTTAAATGAGTAAACTGTCTTAACGAACAGCACTGGTTGAATTAGCCAATCTCCGCCTAGTTGGTTATAGGAGGCATCACAATTCTGTTGGGGAGAATTAAGTCAACAATCAAGAGCAGAAATCTGGCTATCTTTTATCTCTGGTTAACAATGTGAATGTGGGCATTGACTGAGGCTGGATTCAGGTTTGGTGTGGATACCCCATGTTGGAGGATTCCCTACAACAACTATCATTTAGATTTACAAATGAGAAAAAGACACTTGGATAAAGCACTGAGCGTACATCTACCGAATCATTCACAGCAGAAGTTATCAATATCAGAAGGGGAAAAGAGGAATAAATTGTCCGCTGTGCTAACAGTATCAACATTGGATAAACGGATATCATAAGTAGCAACCTTGACAGTTATTTAGGTATCTACAAACATCGGGAACAGAATTATTCTGTAATGTTTAATTACTTCAGTCAGGACAACTAAACATCTCAAAACTAAGCATATTTTGCAAAAGGCCTTATGGCTGCCATGTACTCAATGCACATAATTTTATTTTCTGACCTCAGACAAAAGACTAAATACATATAAAACGAGCCATATTTATGAGGCAAGAAATGAAGATACAATAGTCAATGACACATAGGGGTTGGATCTGAGAAAAAAGATTATGAACAAATCTGAGCTGGTTCCCCTGTCTTGACTGAAGTACAGAGACAATTTTGACTGAAGCAAATTATTTAAACAACACGACTGTTTTCTTGGATGTAGACTTGTTTTACATTTTCCCTAAATTCCATTGATTAAAGGAATTATGCTGAATCAAGTGGGAAGCTTTGACTTCTAGGCTTAATGCAGAGAATCTAGAATTAAATCAAACCTGTGTGAAGTTATGACAAATGTAAAAAGATTCAACATTTGAAGTCTGAAATAAGAACAAAAAAAATGCTTGAGTACTCAGTCGAGCTGGTAACATCTGTGGAGGGAAAAAACCGATTTAATGGGTGCAATTTCCGGGGGCTACTTTTTAGTTTTTAAGAAGGGCAGGTGAGGGAATTTAATTGGGTGGGAGGCAAAAGTTGGGGCAAAATTTTGCTGTTAAGTTTTCAACAACTTTTAGACCAGTCAGCTTTTGTGAGCTTCGTAATTAAGATTCTATTTTCCATTTACAGTCAGTTCTGCTATTATGTGTGCTCCAGCAATGCAAATTGCCTATAATGCGACTGATGAATAGGGCAATGCTATTTCTAAAACGTAAACTTGTGTTGGCTATAACGCAATTCCATTGGTGCGCAGAGGAGTACACGTTGACATCACACGATCATTTTGCAGGCTTTGTCCTGAATGTTCGGCGATGTTAGTGTCGAAAGAGTCTCTGTGCTGGCATCACGTAATCATTTCGCAGACTTTGTTGTGAAGCGCTTTCTGTGAAGTACAGTACTCCGTGATTTTTGGGTTTTTCTTTTGCAAATTCTGCCATGTTACGCACAAAAATGTGAGGACAAAGTGACAAGAATGTTAGCAAGAAGCAGCCTAGTGATAAAACTGCAGGTGGTGAAAGTAAAAGAAAGGCTATATCACTGGAAGAGAAGCTGGACGTTATAAAACGTTTTGAGCGTAATGAGAGAACATGTGATATACTTCGCATAACTGGAATAAAGGAGTCTACCTTGCGCACCATTAGAGACAATGCAGAAAAGATTAAAGCAAGCTGTATTCCTGGAGCAAATCTGAGTGCTAGTAAATCTGAGAGGTCATGGACAAAGGAACTTGAGGAGATGGAGCAGCTTCTAAGCGTATAGATCGAAGATCAAATGAAAAAGTGATCTGGGACCACCTTTCTCACCACAAAAGAGAAAGCCTTATCGATTTGTGAAGATTTATCAAAAAAAAGCTGAAAATCCTTCAAACGCGTCTGCCTTTAGTGCTAGCAGTGGCTGCTTTGCTGGTTTTAAGAACTGCTATGCTTTTCATAACGTAAAGTTATGTGGCAAAGCTGCCAGTGCAGACAAGGAACGTGTGATGGCATTTCCTCCCATAGTAAAAAAATTAATTGATGAAGAAGGCTACAACTTGGAATTTGGAAGCAAATGCCATATGAATGAAGCACACGCTCCAGGCTTTAAGGTGGCAAAGGATCATATGACTGTCTTTCTGAGAGCCAATGCCAGTGGAGACTTAAAGCCTAAGCCTGTGGTAGTGTACCACTCTGCCAACCCACAAGCCTTGCAAGGTTACCTTAAGTCTAATATAGGCATCTACTTTAGGTCAAGCAAAAGAGGTTGGATGACGGGGCCAATTTTTTCTGACCTTATTGTTGATGTTTTGGAATAGGTTTTCAGAAAGTGTTGCAGGAAAAAAAAATT